AAGGGTTCTAAATCTTATGTTCTTGCTAGTGATCTTCCCTGGTTCGATTATCTTCTTAACGGAAAAAGGGTGAATCTAGGAAGATACATTTTCCGGAGCATAATCAAGTCTTACTCACCTACTACGGGACTTCCTCATGGTGCTATAATTACCAGATTGGCGAAGAGGAACAATATTGATCTTACATCCTTTAGGTTCGGAACGGTTCCCGATGGGACTACACTTACCAAAGCCTCTTTTGAGAAAATGGACTGTTTATTTAGAAATGGCATGTGGATAAAGAAAGGGGACCAAGAAGAGGATGAAGAAGAAGTTGATACAGATCAAGAGATGGCAGAACAAGGGGCAGAAGAACATGACGATGACAGCCCAAGACCATTTCGAGTTTCCATGCAAAAAACTAACCGTGAAACCATGGAGTCAATGATATCTGAGATGCAGCAGCTACACACCGACTTTTATGGTTTCCGGACAAAAATGAGAGAGAGAATGACCAACGTAGAAGGACATCTTGGTCAGCTTGTTAACCATTTTTTTCCTCCACCCCCACCTGATGCCAACTGACTTGATATTTCTTTAGTTTGGCTAATCTTTAGGATGGACATATTAGGGTTATGCATTTTATGTTTTTAGGCTTGTGATTATGTTTTTCTTTGACTATGGATATGTCTTGAACCGTTTTATGCATTTTATGTTTTATGAATGGAAATGGCATTACTTGTGTTATCATGCTTTGTGAATGGTTGTTTATGATTTTGATGATCCTATGCTTTTATTGAGGGGGAGTATTTTGTGCTTAAATTGCTCTTCTTAATGGTTATCATTGATGTGAATGAATTAAGGGGGAGTTTGTTGATTATGTGTTTTTTGATGAATGACAAAAAAGGGGAAAAGTATATGCTGAATTTAATGTCATATTCTAGAGTATCTTTGTACTGAGATTCTAGCTAATATTGAAGTATATATCTGCTTTATCTTTGTGCTGAAATTCTGGATAATATTGAAATATATATGTGTTTTTTCTCAAAGTGTTTTGTCATCATCAAAAAGGGGGAGATTGTTGTACCTATGATTTTGATAATTACAAAACACATTTGAGTGACTAATTGGTTCATTTAAGTGTGTAGTTAAAATTGCAAAATAAGTAAACCTGGACTGCACTTAATAATGGACCAGAAAGG